GGGGGGGGGGGACAGGGAAGCAGAATTGAACCATATACCAGATGGCCCTTGAGGTCTCTTCCAACTCTCTGATTCTTGACTCTGCAGCACCAGGCTGACTGTCTTAAGAGCTCTTTCACTGCAGGCAATTAGAACTTCCTTATGATCACCATATGGGTGATTAGGGGGAGAATAATCTTTCCTTTTAAAACATTCCAAAGAGCCCCAAGTAAATTGTACAACAAAGGGCAGACCATAAACTGAAAACAAGAACACAACCCATTAACCTTTCTCTTTATAAAAACCATGAAAAGTTTCAGTTTGAAAAGTATTTATTTAATATGTCATCTTAACTATCTAAAAGATCAAACAAACTAAGCTTTACCTCCAAACAGATAATCTACTTTCCAAATAAAATATTTGTAACTAGGTGAAGCTGTAATTGTTATATAGGACACAAAGATCTTGGAATGATCTTCTGTTATAGTAAAATGCGATTCACTGGCCTACAGCTGATGAAATCATAAGCCATACATGCCAACTAGCATTATTCTCTGCAGCGAGAACAGAAGGGTGAGTCACTGAGTCTTCCTGGATTTTTTTCCCTCTACTGTCTCCATTCAGAAACTGTCATTTTTTCTGCTGCTATTTACTGGATTCAGAACAAACCTCTGGACAGTTTCCAGTGCAAAAATTAGATTCAGTGATCAAGAATAAGACAGACATGTGACTCAGGAATCCCTACGATCTTGCCACCTTGGAGAGTGCATTGGATGGCTGCTACAGAGTGCACTGGAAGGGAAAAGGCAGGCAGGAAATAGAGAAAAATTAGATTGATCCAAAAGGAGCTCCTGAAAGTAAAGTAAAAATGCTGGCTAATATCTACAGAAGCAGTTTCATTATGATCATATATTTATTTGGTACAATGCCATTAAAATATTACTGTGTGGTAAGAGAGATTCTGGAATTCAAAAGCTGGACAGTTTTAATTACGAGCAGGAAGGAATCTGACACTTTTCAGCACATGAATGTCCCCCTTGATGCTCTACAGAATATTTCAGGAATCCCTTTAAAATTAAAGTTGTGATTCTCTGGTTTTCAGATATGCATCATGGGACTGAGATGAGTGGCTACACAAAATGAGCACTAATGCAACACAACACTTAACTGACAAAACTTGATAACATTAATGAGCTATATTTTTCAAGTGTCTCCTTAAGTATGTGTGTCTATTTAAATGCACAAAATGAGTGTCTGTGCCTGCAAATAAGTACAAAAAAAGCCAAATCTGCTGACCTCCCAGATGCAACACAAAGTCCGCCTGTTTTTCTAAGGATGTGGGATGGGTTGTAGTGCAGAAGAGGCTGGGCCTGAAAATGGTTTTTGCTGACTTGTCCCTTTCTGTGTGAGGTAGGATGTTCGGTAACTTTTTGAAGGGGGAGGGTATCTGGTCATCAGATCAAAAATGTGGACATATATACCTATAAGACAACAAAGGCATTCATAAACTCTGTTTTCTTAATATTCATCATCCAATACAGTTGCTTCAAATAATTATAAGAAAGGATGATATTATACTTAAGGAATCAATAGGAACTCAAATAGTGTAGGTTGTTTCTAGCTTTGCCAATGACTTTGACCCCGAGTCAGATGCTATATTGATGACAGTCATATATTTACCTACAATAATAAAAATGCAGGTAATTACTTTAAACAATTAATCTACATGGGTGCGTGTAGGCAAAACAGGGACCCTAAATTGAAGTGGTGGGTTTTAAAAACACTGTTTCAATTTAGGGCTGATTAAACCCCAGTGTTGTGCACACACCCCACTTACCTACCTGCCTCTCTGGGGGGAGGGGAGGGTGAGCTGCTGGTGGGTGCAGCAGTCTCTGGGTTATAGAGTGGGGGGGCCTGGTGCTTCCCTCCATGGCAGCGGTGGCCCTCCCCCCCCAGGCAGCACCCACCTACAGGCATCCAGCTCGGGCAGTTCCCGGGGGCACCACAGCCATGAAGGGAAGCACCAGGTCCGTGTGCAGCTCAGGTAGGCAGGCAGGCTCTGGGATGGCAAGGGGGGTGGAGATCAGGCTTCTTGCTTTTCTTGGGCGGAGCCCGCTTTCCTGAGCTGCTGCCAAGGTTTCCTACAGAGATGCCAGCTGCATGGAGCCTGGTGCTTCACTGCACGGCTCTGGGGCAACAAACTAAAACTCCTCAAAGGAGTTGTAGTTTGCTGGGCCCAAAGTCATTTAATGTACATTACATTGCTAAATTTCCTACAGCGGCTGGAATTAATGTGCAATACACTGCTGAGGTGTGCAAACACCAACACTGTTAAAGCGGTGCAAAAGCATTCAGCCTGCTTTAAAGTGTCGTGAACACACACCTCTCATTTAATCTACACACCGCTCATATTCCCACTGAATTAGAAAGTTTATTCATTATGAACAACTGGTCGCATCTACATGAGACTAACTGCACAGTCATTAAGTACCCATTAGCAAGTACTAAATGACTGTGCAGCAGCGCCACCAAACAGGTTTTTTGTAATGCTACTGTGCAGTAGCCTAATACTACTGTGCAAGTGTTGCATCACAGTTTCTGCCACATGGCACTACTGTGCTGTCATATAGGGCTATGTAGACCCTGACACTGAGAATAGAAAAGATCCCAAATTCAAAATTAGCCAGTTCCATCACATACCAAAAGTTCTTTTTCTCAATTTAAGTAAT